ATCTGATCTGTGATGTATCCCGAACACATCGATTTCCCTCAAAGATCGTCGGCCCGACGATCTTTAGAAAATTTCGCCTCACTTCAGGGCGTCTAGCGACAACAATTATAAATGTAAGGGTCTTTGAAAAATTGCCGTTCCTTTCAGATGTATAAACAACGTATATTTACTTGGCACTTTTAAGAGTCGCTGATGTCATAACAGGGTGCCAAAAAAATTTCACACACGAAAAATTGGCCGAATTCAGATATATTTGACGTTTCCGATGCGATTGCTGGCACCGCACAACGAGGAATGCATAACATAGGAACGAAGTAGAATTTTTCATTGCATGAAGATGGAATGATCTTACTTTCAGCAAATTTTTCGACCTCTGTTGCCGTTACAGGGTGTCTATTAAATTTTAATGGCGAAAGACCGGTCAAAATGGAGGTATTTTTCACGATTTTTGTGTATCTGAAGACACCGTTCGACCAAGAATCAAACATCTATGGACCTTTTGAAATTTGCCCTTTTATACTGGTGGTATGGACTTGCTTTTCCCCAATTTTCGAACTTCCAGTGTCATTAAAGGGTGTCTAATAAATTTCGCCATTGAAGAAACGGCCGAATTGAGGTATTTTTGACGTTTTCGAAGTGATTGCGGGCACCGCACAACGAGGGATGTAACACATAGGAACCAAGTAGATTTTTTTATCCCTTGCAGAGGGTATGAACTTACTTTGCACAAATTCTCGGACCTCCACTGCCACTACAAGGTGTTCCAAAAAATTATCAAAAAACGGCCAATTTGAGGTATTTTTGACGTTTTCGCTGCCCTTTCGGGTATCGCAGGACGAAGAATATAAGACGTATGAACCAAGTAAAATTTTTTATTTCATACAGATGGTATGAACTTACTTTCCACAAATATTCGGACCTTCATTGTCATTACAGGGTGTCCAATAAATTTTCGAACGCGAGAAAACGGTCAAAATTGAGCTATTTTTGACAAGTTTTCCACCATTATGGGCATAGCTTGGCAGAAAGTAAAAGACGTAGGAGTTTTCTGACATTTGCCCTTCCATACTGATAGTATGGACTTGCTTTCCACAAATTTTCGGATTTTTACTGCCATTATAGGTTGCTCAAAATGTTCATTATACGTTAAAAAACGGCGAAATTTCGATTTTTAGAGCTGCCGAGCGGAGAGTTTCGGCATTACCAAGCGAACTGAGAGTGACCTAGGAGAAAAACAAAAATTTTCCCTTAATCTGCAAGGTATGTGCTAGGTTTGTACCAATTTTTGGACATCTAGCGTCAAATCCGTGTTGCTGGCAAAAATATCAAAAATATACGGCGAAAATGCCAAAAAAACCGGAAAAATCTCGATGTTTAGGCTCTGTGCGCGCCGGGTTAAAATTTTTTTTTCTCAAAATCCTCTTGGCTACCGTGTTTTTTTATCACATAGAACCATTTAAGACCGTGCAACATTTGGTTTTGTCGATTTAAAAAAATAAGTCCCACCCTACCCTAGGTGCATGAGCCCAAAGAATCATTTTACACCAAAAAATTGGCAAAATTTATAGAAATGAAAGCAGAATCCTAATTGGAAAAAAAACCTCGTCTTCGATACAGGAATCGGTAATTCCATCGACTGTGAGGTTGTTTTCCAAACAGAATTCTGCTTTTATTTCCCCAAATTTTGCCAACTTTTTTTGTATAAAATTGTTCTATAAGCTCATGCGTAGGGACTGTAGTCCTTTTATTGGCTAACAATTCCAAGTCTGCCGAGATTTTTGACCTAATCGATGCGATACATCGCAATTAAAGCCAGTTCGACCAAATTACTTGAGCTTGACCTTAAGAACACTTTTAAGGGGAAGTAGTCCGGGAAAAATAGACATAATGGGCCTCTGGGGTACCAAAGAAACCAATTTGATAATGATCTTATTTTTTGTGCATTCACATATAATGCGAAGTGAAGTGAAAGAGACGATACATGGACTACATTTTGCAATTTTGAACTTTAAATTCTGGCACATTTGTACACATTGTATACACCAAGGTAAGTTCGGAACCAAAAAAATACGACTTCACCATGACTTGAGCAGCGCGCACCGTGGTATACGCGTAGTGCATGAGGTATCTTGCAGACTTGTAAGGCGCTGTGCTACGCGTGGCGCGCACCGTGCTGTACGCGTAGTGCATGAGGTATCCTGCAGACTTGTAAGGCGCTATTCTGCAGCTCGCACTGTGCGCGCCAGCCTCGCGCCGTCTGCTGCACTTTATTTGATGTGCTTATTCAAACACGTGCGGTGTCAGCGGTTTCCAACTTATGATTTTGAAGTTTGTGTAAAGTTCGTTAGAATTACTGTCATTTCAAATGATAGAATATTACATAAAACCCAACTAATTTTCTTCTCTTCATTTACATATTTGTATGAATCATTATAAATAAAAGCATGCAAGTGAAGCGACTTTTCTTGTAGGCTCCCTCGTTGCTCAACAATGTAATGACGTGATCATTTGAACTGCATTTTACTATTCAGAACTATAAATTCTGGCACATTTGGAAAAACACTTATGTGCATAGGGACACTAATGGCACATGCGTTGTTTTTAAACCGGGCCTGAATTAATAGTTCCAAATTGCAAAATGCAGTCATAATGAAATATTAGAAATTTCCATAGAATAAGTGAGAAATTTCGAGTGGCTGGCTGTAAAATTTTGGGGGGAATTAAAAACATTCATTTCTACTGCAGAGTATGCTATCTGCACTAAAAATACGTAACAATACATAAAATCAGTGATATTTTTTTTTCTTTTTTTATTTGATTCAGGATTTTTATTTCTCTATCTCAACTGTTTTTTCAACGCTTGTTGAGGTAATACAATTTTATCATGAGTTTATAAGTCACTCCACCCCTGTGAGACAAAGCCAATTTTCATTTTTATTTATTTTTCTCGTGAGTAATTTTACTGTTATACTGGGGGCTGGGGGCTGTCGCGACCCAACTCCCAGTAGTCCAGCACCAATAGATTTAAAAGGGGGGGGGGTATGAATGTAAGAAAGAAGTCAGAAGAGATTAAAGCTGATTCTTATGTATTTTTGTATTATTAAAACTTGCCCCTTTCAATGATGTTAGCAATTTACTCGGCTACAACTTTGCTAATAACTTAGATAAATAGTAAGCTATTTATTCCCGGAAAAGCGCGCAAAACGTGATTTTCGGCAGTTTTCCAGCTTTCCCGGAAAACGCACAAGGCGGATTTAGTGGGAAGCATCAAATTTGGATTCAGCGACCAAAAATACATAAGAATCAGCTTTAATCTCTTCTGACCTCTTTCTTGCACTCATAAACTCCTATTGGTAGTGGACCCAAGAGATTTGTGTCACATGCGAGCTGCATAAGAATTATCTAGATAGTTTGAAGAGATGCACTTCAGCCAAAAAATTGAAAGCATTTTAACATGATTTTTAGAGAAAGATTGAACGATCGGGCTATATTTTCTGGTAAGAATTATTATTTTAGGCTCTCGTCATATCCCTCGTAGACCCGCGTTATCCCATTCTTTCCCTCCATCAAAAACTTAATTTAAGTAACACAATTTTCAGTTTGAAATTCATTTTGTCATTTTTCATTTCCCTTTTTGGAATCGGAATCATTCGAGGATATTCCGTTTAGCTTCCTATAAGCTCGTATATTAACAGAGAAACCACATCACTAACAAAATAACGCGATAAAACTAACCGAGATGCCTCTCAGAATGAAAAACTCGGCATTTGAAAAATGAACGGAGCATAAAGCATTAGAAGAGTGTTTGAAGTTGGGTTCGAACCCAAGAAGCAACTATTTTAACTCCGCGGTGGGCCGGGTTGCGTATGCTCGATTTCGAAGGCGAAATCTGGGATCCGTCCACGGCTCCCTTCACGTCGTTTTGAGTTGGAAGAGAGTTCTTTTATATACGATGTTAATAAAGGCCCCTGCAGACTTTATAGAGATTCTAACTCTAAACATTCTTAGTTCACTACCAAAATCGCAAATTACAATAGACGTGCATGTCGCGGGTACAAACTGTCAATTTGAGTAGGGAATTTCATTGAAATCTGTGAATCAAATGGTGTGTTCAGATTCACTGACCGTCCTTAACATTTTCCGTTATTTAATTGAAGCCCATTCTATGCGAGGAAAGAGAGATCTAAATAGAGAGGCAAGAAAGGAAAATGTATTTGAAGTAAAATGTAATAATCTAATGGTGGTGGTTCAAATTATTTACAGTTCTTTTTAACAGAGAATAAAATGCCGTGAGTATTGCATGGGAAATTTTGTTTGTCGTGTAGCTTATTGCATTCATATAATTGTCCTTCATTTGAGGGGGTAGGCAATATGCGCTCTCAAGATATTGAATAGTGGTATCAGAATTATTTGTCTTGTTTAAACGTGTTACCAGTGCTTTTACCCTTCCTACTACATTGAGCGAACAGAGGAGAATGTACTGCGGAAATTTCACATGTATTGGACCCCTGCTCTTCTTTCTCCTCTTCCTTTTTTAATTCGGTTTCTTTTTCTTTTCTTCACTCTCTTCTTACTCTCCTCCTTTTCATGTTTCTCTTCTTCCGCTCTTTCCCTTCTTTCCCTTCTTTCCCTTCTTGCCCTTCTTGCCCCTTTTCTGTCTTTTTATCTCCTTCTGCCTCTATCTATTCTTCCCCTTCTTCTCCTCACTCTTTTTTTGCCACTTTGATTTTCCCTAGGCAGATAAGTGAATGTATGATTGAGCCGGGAATAGTATAGTTCCTTATTGAAACCGTCCGTTCCGGGCTCTGAGGCCGACAGTTCCGGGTGCTGGAGCTGTAGCTTCGACTGCTCCGGCTACTGCACGTAGAACTTTCGGCCTCTGATGCCGGAACGCATGTCTATGTAACCCGTAAGTACGGCTTCCACGGCTGAAATTTTTTTTTCAGTGTATCAATTTCAATGTTCAATTTAACCTGCTGTTTATGAAGACTGGTGCTTACCGGCTCTGAAAAGGACGATGGCCTTGAGGCAAGCGAACTCGGCGGGGTCAACAGCGACGGCGCGGTAGCGGTGGAGGGTGTCACAGAGGACCCTGACGTCGGCGGCCACTTGGCTGGCTTTCCCGTTCGGGACGGCGGCCACGTGGTCGCTGGCGTTGAAGAGCGGGCTCGTGTCCATCGGCAAGCACCACTGGATCGCGTTCAGGAGGAACAACTCCGACCAGCACTCCTCCAGCAGGATCACCTGAAGCAACGTAGATCATAAGATAGCGTGAAGATCAGTAAGATAACGTTTATAACCCAAGGGATCATCATATCGTCACCTTCCAGGCAAAGTATCACAAGCGCCATGCGACGTTTAAAAATTTCCGCCGCCATTATATTTTTTTACAGAGAAATTGTTCAACGAAGCTGTCCGAAAATTACACCGAATTTTCTTTGTGCTGCCGATAAAATTTAGTGAAATTTTCGAACAGATTCAACCAACAATTTATCAGTAAAAAAATTAAATGGCGGCGGAAATTTTTAAACGTCGCATGGCGCTTGTGATACTTTGCCTGGAAGGTGACAATATTAAGAACAACATAAAAGGGGATAGTATTCAAACAAACAAAAATATTAATCAAATATATTTATATAAGAACACAACTTCTATTTAAAATAAATCGAATCAATCTAAAAACCACAATTCTAATTATATTTATTTCAATAATTATTTTTTTGTTTTAATAGCTTAAATTTATAAGTCAGTCCTGCTCGTCCCAGAATGGTGTGTTCATTGGCGAATCTACAAAATTGGCAACATTGTTTTTCTCTATTTAAACCTATGGAAATGTATCGTTCTCGGAGGGGCCAGGTGCTCCAACAAGAATCGATCATTTAACATAGGTTTAAATGGAGGGAATCCAGTGTTGTAAAATTGCTGGATCCACCTCGTGGTTGGGTGGTTTGAGCATATAGATCAGCGAAAGTCAATAACTTCTTGCTAAGACGTCTTTCAAATGGAACACGTCACACTGGGGAAAAAAGTTTCTCAGATGTTTGAAGTCCAGTGGGCTGATTGTTGAAAATGATAGACAAAGTTATGGGTAAAGAAGACAATAGGATTATGAAGAATGAAAGGATGAACGATTTTGGATAAAACTTGCGGAGGCATATGCATCCTTTTAAAAAAATTAATCGTGTGAGCCAATTTTGTAACCATTGGAATGGATTTACGCTCATTCATCCGAAAAACGAAGAACTTTTAGACAAGGCAATTCAGATTGCCAGTGTTGGTTTTAGACGCTTCAAATGATCTTAATTCAATCGGATTTTTGCCGAAGACTCTTAATTTAAGCGGATTTCCTTTTGATCCAAGCAAAAATCCGATTGAAACAAGAGCATTTGTCTTTTTTTTCTCAAATTTTCTAAGAGTCTGAACTCTGGATCAAAAATATTGTTTTTCCCAGTGCAAGAAAGACGGATGCTACCAGAGAGGAGACACGACATATTGGATGATAAGCACCAATAAGTTCCCTAATTCGGTTCAATCAAAGCTCATTCAGCGATACAAGTGTGTATTTATCAACTAGATGAAGAAAAATAAGCCATCATCAACATTCTGTAATGCCCAAAAGTAAAATTAAGGAGCTTTATTGAATATATCCGACCATTTTATTACTCGGAAATAAAAAACAAATGAATGAATAATATAGATAAAAAAGAATCCTATATGCAAAACACCTTCATTGAGTAGAGGGTATATCGATGATGAAACTACCAGACCACATCTCAAGTGGCGACGTTGTAGATTTCCTATCATATTTTACTTTTTTAATGGAACACTTCTCAACGTCAATTCTTGAGAACTTCAGTGTTTCATCCTCTATTTGCGAAGACTCGTGTAAAAATTTCAGGAAATGATATTGATGGAATGGAATGAAATAAAATAGTAGCGGAGTTTTTTAAACACCCCGAAGAAGATACATCGATAGGTAGTTTCACCGTCGATATTTTTTCATCGTAATGAATTGATCAAAAAATAGAATCAAAAACCGATCGATTTAAGATGTTTTTAATCAATTCACGGATTTTTCGATCTATTTAGAGGTTCGTCGATCGGTTCAGAAATTTTGTTTTCGACCGATTCCTGCGAGCTGATTGTTGAAATTGGTAGACAAAGCTATACACAAAGAAGCCAAAAAGGATGTGGAGGGATCGTATTGGTGTAAGCGTCTGGTTGCAATGGACAAAGTGGGTAGGTAACAGACTAGTTAACGGCAATCCACGAAAAACCCTATGGTTAGTCAACAGTGGCGTGGCGTTTTTTTGCGATAAATCGATTGATCGGTCATTTAAACCTATGGAAAAGTATCGATAAAGAGGGTGTTCGCAGCGAACACCTTAACAATCGATCGCAAAGAACGCCACGCCACTGTTAGTCAATCATGTTCTCCTTGAACCACTCATTTCAACCAATAGGATCGCTCCATACTCCTGATGTCTCCTTTGTCTTCCGCTTTGTCTGTCAATTTCAAGAATCAGCCGGCTGTCTATCAAATCCGCGTCCTCGAGCGAGGGTGAGTTGAGGAATGAAAGACGAAGAATACTGACCTGGTCTCTGAAGGGGAGGGAGGCGAAGGAGGGGAGGTTCTTGGCCCACTTGACTGCCATGAAAAGGAGCCGGGCGGAGGTCTCGTAGAGCGTCTCCTGGACGGGCGGGTAGATGAAGGCGTGGTCGGGGTTCGGGGGCAGGCCCGGGGCGCCCACCCCTCCTCCGCCGCCCGCTCCGGCACCCCCGCCTCCGCCTCCACCCCCGCCACCCCCGCCCCCACCGCTGGGGGTCGAAGCAGTCGTCTCGCCGGGGGGCTCCTCGTTCGTCACGTCGATCGAGCTGTCCTCTGCAATCAAATATCACGCCCAACTCGTTCAGTCACCAATAAAAACATTCTCATAAACAAGAGTTTTTTTGCAATACTGCCGTGCTGAGGAAGAAAGCCGTATGAACAGTCGAGAGTTGCAAAATTTCCCTCGATAAAATGTTTATTTTGGAGTGAAATTATGAACACTTTTCCTGGAAATTTTCAGAAGTCTTAGATCAAATTGCAAACAAAAGTATCTTAGAAATTGGCACACAAATATTCCTGAAAATTGGTGATTTGTCAGAGGAAATTTGGCAACGCTCAAATTGGCAATTTTCTTTGGAAATTGGCTTTGGCAATTCTCATAAACAGAGTATTTTTTGCAATACTGCCGTGCTGAGGAAGAACGCCGTATGAACATTCAAGCGTTGCCGAATTTCCTGCGATAAAATGTTTATTTTGGAGTAAAATTATGAACACTATTCCTTGAAATTTTCAGAAGTTCTAGATCAAATTACAAACAAAATTATCCTAGAAATTGGTAAACAAATATTCACAAATATTCCTGAAAATTAGTGATTTGTCAGAGGAAATTTGGCAACGCCTAAGGGCTCATACGGCGTTTTTCTTGAGCATGGCAGAATAGAGATCTATACCGTCCTCAGCAAAAACACAGTCGCAGTAACTCCATTCTAGATTTTTTCAAATATCAAATATCACGCCCAACTCGCTGAGTCACATTCTCATAAACGTAGAGTGTTTTTTGCAGTACTGCCGTGCTAGGGAAAAACGCCGTGTGAGCCTTTAGGCGTTGCCAAATTTCCTTTGATAAATCACGAATTTATGGGAATATTTCTAAAACATATTCTTTCGAGTTTTCAGCTGAGAATTTCGTTCGTAATTTGATCCAAATAGTGTAAAAATTTCAAGGCAAAATATTGATAACTTTCCTCAAAAATAAACATTTTAGCGGAGGAAATTTCGCAACTCTCGAATGTTCATACGGCGTTCTTCCTTAGAACGGTAGAACAGGACATACTTATGTTAAACGGAAATAAAGTCTGGTCGGTCTAAGAAAAGATGAGTCTAACAACGCCAAGGCTCAACTCTATTAACACTCGCAAGAAATGAAAAAACTGTTAGGAGCCGATCGTTTTCAAAAAACGTTCGTTGATTTGAAAATATGGTTGGAGCTTTTTTTTAAAGTTAATACATCGAACATAAACAAACATCAACGTATCGGACAAAATATTGGTATTACTTTAAATATGACCCAAAGTCTTACTCCCTTCAACAAGGTAAGATTATTGGGTTGCCCTGTTCCATTCTACCCTCTCAACTTCCCTTAGACACGCAGGACTCTAATTGTAAGTAGTACTCTACAATCTACCGCGGTTCACAATTCTTCACCCCTTCTAGTGGGCCATTGTCATGAGACAAATTGGATTCACATAAATTTTATTTGGTTCATATCCAGTGAATGCGGCTAATCATCGAATCGGCAGCAATGCAACCCTCGTTAAATAGTCTTTCGGCCACCCTAGGTTCCTCATTGAGAGGTCTAAACCCCTCATTCCTCCCTCTTAACAGTAACACAGGGTGATGCTGCAAATAAGCTTTCAATTAGGGTATGCGCTTCTACTTAACACTCGCCTCTTTATTCCACTGTTAAATTGAATTACCTGCTCATTTGTAACCATGATTTACACTTGAACGTCCGACTAATGGATGACACGGAAGAAATAGGGAAACAACTAGACCAAGTACTTGAATCAGAGGATCCACGGATATTGCAAAATTACGGTTTTAATTTGATGTACAGTTTTTAGAAAAGGAACATATTGAGGAGACTGTGATTTTTTATTACTCATCATTGCTACCAATCAAGGATTGATCGAAGAGTTTTCAATTTGATAAAAAAGCGGGCATTCTGAAATACTGCAATGAAAGTACGTGGTTTCGCACTTTGGTTATCATATAGAAGATGTATGGAAGATATTTTTTTTAAATTAACAAACTAAGATATCAGTCATTCAAAACTCTTTCCACTATATATATACCCTGAAACAGAATTTGCTAATTTTTTAACCTTCATATTCAAGTTTGTAGTCCTGGTGCATCATGGATTTCAATACAGTGTTTTATCTTAAACGCATTTTTTCAAAATCACACGGGAAAAAATTGATTGCTGCTTGAACAATTAAATTGTTGAAAAATATGTCCAACATGCTTCAAATGTACATTTTACAATCAGGGCCGGATTTACGTACTTGCCGCCCATGGGCCGCCTGTATTTTGTCGCCCCCTTCTCATCCGTTTTGAAACATCAATAAAAACCATCAAATGAACATGCCGGAGGGGGAGAGGCGTACAAGACGCGTTTACTCTTGTTGGTCACATTTTTTGCGAAAGCCCTGTCAACACTACTAGCAAAAGTTCACGGAACTTGGCGCGAAAGTTAAGTTCCGTAAACCTATCTCTGTATGGGCGAGGCCCTCCATTTATAAGAAATGAACCAAAACATTATGAAAGAACAAACATAAATGTGGTTTAATAATTTTAACTTTCGCCGTCGCGCCGCGCTGACCGCACTGTGTTTGACGCAATGCGTGAAGTATTCAAGCAGTCTTGTAGGCGCTATGCGTTTCGCGCTGCCCGCTGCTGACCGCACTGTCTTTGGCGCAATGCGTGAAGTGTTCATACAGTCTTGTAGGCGCTAATATGTGTTACATGCCGACCGCCGCGCCGAGGGTTTCTCCCTTTTATCTCACGTTCTCGTCATCATTGCTCTCTGCGCCGCGCCGTTCCAGGCCAAATTCCGTGTTCGGTTTCTCTCTTAGTCTTAACTCGACTAATTAAAGGTGCTGTCTATTGCACCACAGAGGGACGACAAAGTTAGAGATATACTCTCAGGAAATGAGAGATTTTGTCACCTTTTCTCGTTCGTAATTTTTTTTCTGAATTTGATTTTTCTTTATAGCTACATTTAAAAATATTGTAAAATTTGCCGCCCCCTAAATCTGCCGCCATGGGCCGCGGCCCATTTGGCCACCCTCTTAATCCGGCCCTGTTTACAATAGTAGAAAGCTAATTTAACAACGGAGATGGTCAAATTAGCATTTTTTCTTTTTATTGTAAAATCTACATTGAAACATGATGGACACTTGTTTAACTACGAAATTGTTAAATCAGTGATATGAATGTTTCCGTGCAAAAAATTGATATTCGCTCTCTTTATACCCACGACACCTTCCGAATACACGAATCAAGAAATAATGAAGTTGTTCTTACCATCATCGATCTCCTCTTTGGACAGATTCTGGGGCGTCGGTGATTTCGGGGAGCCTAAAGATAGGGGATGGTGGTACCTGGACGACGGGGAGACTCCAAGTCCCATCGAGTTGGGCGGGCTGCAATCATCAAAATTGCATGAGGAGGTGCATTTGAACAGTCTAAAAGATAAAACGGCAATATTTGTAAAACATCGCTACACTCAAAAAACAAGCGGGAACGTTCTAATACTGTCGTATTAGAAAAGCGCTCAGGTGTTAGTCAATGTATTTAGTGAAGAAAGGAATAGTATAAACTCCGTCGACTTGGCTGGGAAATGGAAATAAAACATCAGCTGATAGCAAACAAAGGTTACCAAGGAAACCGTAAACGCGTATTTTTGTTTCCCGAAAATGAGCTCACCGTTGAGCTCATCAGGCGCGTTTTTTAGGCTTCATTTAAGTTCAACGATCAATTTCGATAAGAATTACTCTACCGCTAAGAAATTTTCTTATAGACAAACGATCGAAACTACCTGCGCATTACGTTAAAAGCATAAAATACAGTTTTCACAGCTTTATTTTTAAAAATGGACCCCCCCAAAAAGCCTACACATAGATGAGCTGGTACGCCATTTAAAAGAATTAGCACTAGTATACTAGTACTCTAGAGGCAAGTCGAAATCAAAAACCGCTGCCTATCGGCTGAGCGCTTAACAAGTATGGGAAGAGTGACTTACCGGCCGAGTTATGGATCAAGGAGCCATAAAATGTAGTTCGTGGAGCCATGCTTAGGTTCACGACCAATAAAGTATGGCTCAGAAAGCCATGCTGTAGACGGTAAGTCACTTTGGTTAGAAATTATGGATCTCCGAGCCATTTTTTATGGGTCTCAGAGTCATACCTTTTTTTGAGTGTACGCTAATATGCATCCTATAGAGTCAGCATCCCAATGACTAGAGTCGGAAAGTGCGTGCCTCCTTTTGCAAAGTTGCAAATATCCAGCCATTTCAAGAACAATTGCACAATTGAGAGGCTTGGAGAACAAGTCGCATGAGTGCAATTCTTGCTGCTTCGAGAGATACGTGTTTGAAGTTTCGAAATTACAGTAATCCTTATGGTAGCAAGAAAGTTCGAACTGACTTTTTGATGCCGAAAAATTGGAATCTGGAAGCGAGTTTTTCACAGACTATGGACTAGTTTTTGAAATCATTGATATCTCATTTTTTTCCCCAAAAACTGCACATATGCGCCTTGTCCTCCAAGCCCCCTATATACAGTTTTCCTCGCCGTTTCTTAGGATTTCATTGTTTTCTGAGTAACTCAACTATTTTTATTGAGCAGGCATTTTGTGTAATATCTTTGAGTTATTTCGTGGATCATTGTTTTAAGAAATGCCTCGTAAATTTTTTGAAAAAGTGGAGAGCATTTTGCTCGGCACCAAGCACTAAGATCGTGGATTTCAGGACAATCTATCAAACACTAATATTTTGAATAGCAAAAGCTTTCTTCGTGAGCGCGTGGTCTACTGAATGCGGTGCTCGCAATAATCTAAATGGTCTTATTCGAAAAATTACTGTATTCCCTACCTACAATTCTTTGTCTACACGGAGTGACAGCTCGTTAATACACTTTTGAAAATGGTGTAAATCAAAGTGATAGTTTGAGAAAGATGCAAGATAAAAATATTTTAACTTCTTCGGAACTTAAATTTTGAATAAGGAGAAAAACGGAAGTGCACTCAGTTTCACAAGAAAACCAATGAAAGAAGCAAAATTAAAGAAATACTCAGAATAAATCGGAAAGCTTAATGAGACCCTCAGTATGACTTCACATTTAGGTATCCATCCAATTTTAACTTAATTATGCTTTATGCTTAGGCTTCGTTCCTCTGTATCTTCTGTGTCTCTCTGTGTTTTTTGCATCGTAAAGGCCAAATTTAATACTCACGCAGTTTTTTTGTTTTTGAATCGTACCGGAAAAACAGCAGGAAATGTGTCATTCCCTAATCTGCGTATAATTTATGAAAACATTTTTATTTTCATTTCTTGAACAGTTTCATCTGTTATCAACCGTTATTTACGTAATTAATGTTTGCCGGATGCACGTCTCCTGAAAATTTTGGGACTATCTCATGCAAGTGACAAACACACACACCCACACACCCTTGTATCTCCGCGTAAAAATGATTAAATCAACGTCATTCGCATGAACCTCTTTTAAATTTGCAAGAAAAGACAGTTGGAATATTCGTAACATCTGAGATAACAATATCTAAGTTTCAAGAGTGTGCGTCACGCAAATCCACAGGCAGTATGTTCTGTTATAAATAAATACGCATGAAGTTGTGACAGTAGTAACACAGTATTTTATTGCGGCCTTGCATTCATATCCCGGTGCATTCGCTGTTGAAACCTCTGCGACTCTCGCTTGTGAAAAATGTTTGCGTTGAGACCGCCGATTAAGTTTTTCATTTACCTCTTTGCGTTTACATTCATTTGTTCCGTGATGGTCAGTGCGGAACCTGAGGAAGGTAACGTACGATGCGTATATCCGGAAAGCTGTAGGGATGTTCCTTGCCCAAAGTGCGTAGCTTGGTATGAACGACTCTTCACAGATAAACGTATTGCACCGACCATAAGATGTGAGTCAAATCGTTGCATTTGCGGATGTCGAAATGCATAACTATAAACCCTGTCTAATTGGGACTTATTTGTCTCATAGTTTTTGGAATATTAATTGTTTATAAAATATTATTGGCAAATGTGTGCTCATAAATAAAAAAATTATTTCCAATTTATATCATTTGGTTTTGAAATAAAGTAATAGCAAAAATATGTAGGTACCTAGTTTTTTTTCTAACATGTTGAGGACAAAATGCAGACACCTCGGAAAAAAAATTTCTACAAAATCTATTACTCTTTATTAATGCAAATGTCACCGTCCACGGAAGAAAGAACCTTTTGATCGCCACACGCAGTGGATTGAGTCAACGGGAGATGTCGGACAAAATGTGTAAACTTTAAAAGCTTATAACTCCGCTCATACAAAACTTTGAGGTTTCAAGAGTGGTTCCATCGATTTTCTCGTGAAATTTTCTTCTAGTATCACCTCTTAAAATTTAGCAAGTGATGAAATCAAACATTAAAATTTGCCGTTTTTGTCAAAAATGTCATGTCCGAGCTCTCTCCATAACTCGATTCCCTAGGCGCCGCGCTGGAGGACATTTTTCAAAATAGCTATTTTTTTTTTTTTTTTTCAAGTAAGGTACCAAAAATGGAATTTTGATTTTTCGACGGAAAAAACTCTCCACTAGCCTATGGAATGGGTTGACAGAAGAATCGTTATTCTCTTCGTATTTTATTCGAATGTTGGACGTACGTTGCACTTTAACACATCAGTTGTTTAGCCCAGATAACAACGTGAATACCACTGAACCACGTATCTCGTCTCTAAATTGAACATATTTATGCTAAAAGGAACTGTCTGCATAAGGATTGCGTGTAACATAGTTCCTTTTAGCATAATACACGCAATCCTTATGCAGACAGTTTTTTTTAGCATAAATACTTCAAATTATGTATTGGTGGTGCGCATAAAATTTTCTGAGAATACCAAAGTGCTTGCCAAGGAGATAGTGATACAAATATTTCAACTCCAAGGCAGGCCAAATTGCATAACCATTGAGTTGAAGGCGGACTAAAGGTTTAAAACCCGCACTGCCCAAGATTTTAAAAATTACCACGGTAAAACTTTCAAGACTTGCTCCTTCATTTTGGAGTGTTCGTAGTACCCACCTCCAGCGGGCTGATTGTTGAAATTGGTAGACAAAGCGATAAACAAAGATGACAAAAAGGATATGGAGGGATCTTATTGGTGAAGTGAGTGGCTGCGATGGACAAATGAGGTAGGTAACAGACTAACTAACGGCAACCCAAGAGAGCTCCTTTTGTTAGTCCATCATTTTCTCCCTCGGTATAAGAGAACCACCCATTTCAACCATTGAGATCGCTCCATGTTCCCTATGTCCTCTTGATATTAATAGACAAATCTATAGACAAAAAATACATAGGGAGTAAGGAGCGCTATTGGTTCAAATGGTTAGTTCCTATAAACTAAAGGATAAAAAATGATGGACTAAACTGTATAGGTCCCTCGTGGGATGCCGTTAATGAGTCCATTATCTTCCTTGATGAGATAAAAATTTTAAAGTAGGAGTTTAAGTCACTACACAAGTAACGTTAAAATTGGTAAGAAAACTTTAAAAACTTGTAACCCTTCACTCTCATAAATCGTAAAATAATTAAAATTCGGACGCGTTTCGGAGGTGCCTGGCCTCTATCAGTGGCGTGGCGTGAATGATCGATTATCGATATCTCGCCATTTGAAGCTATGGTAAAGAATCGATTACTAAGGTGTTCGCTGCGAACACCCTAATAATCGATCTTTTTCATAGGTTTCAGTGGCGTATCGATCTATATATCGCAAAGCACGCCACGCCACTGGCCTCTATCCTCAGCGCGGCTGGTCAGTCCAGATTGCGTCCGAATATTAACCATTTTACGATTTATACAAGTGAGTGGTTTCAAGTTTTTAAATGTTGTACCAATTTTCACATTACCGACCTTCTTTGTCCATTGCAACCACCCCCTTCCACCAACATCCCTCCGAATCCTTTTTGTCTTCTTTGTCTATAGCCTTGTCTATCAATTTCAAGAATCAACCCGCAGTCCTAAGCATCGCGACTGACCGAAACTCAACCATAGGAGAAATGAAGCCATATGGGATTGAGCCTCGACCATTTAATATTCAATCTCTAAATCGTCATTTTACGGCTTGTGGGTTCCGCTTTGGAAAAAATCAAAGTCACGATTAAACTAAACGCCACCCGGAGGGACTGGCAGGGATTAAAGAGGCGAAAACTGCGCGTCATTTATGCCGAGGAAGGGGCGGAGGGGTGTGACTAATATTCTATTCGAGGCGAATTGATACCTCCAAAATGTTTGTGATCGCGCGCTACGGTCACGCCCCACCCCGCGCTGCAAAACCGGGAACGGGGGTTAAACAAACAGAGCTTCCACCGGCACCGGCGTTGCCATTTTGACCTGGGGATTTTATTTTGTCACATTGTTTTTGCATTTACTCCAATCGCATTCAGCAAGAAGGAACCAGCGCGATTACAG